TCTTTCCCTTTGCTGATACTGGTATCTCATTTGAGACTGATTGGGCCCTCTGCCTCTTCTTTTTGTGTGGCCATGGGACCCAGCTGTTGCAGTACAAGGCTGATATCAATGCAGTGAATGAACATGGGAACGTGCCTCTGCACTATGCCTGTTTTTGGGGCCAAGACCAGGTCGCAGAGGTGAGTACTTAAACCCCATGTGCTGGGATAGGTGAGGAGACTGACATTTAGTGGGAGATTCTGTTACCCTCAACCTATCCTATCAGTACTACTATGTATCACAGGGCTGTGTATTGTACCTTTGTGTTCATGGTTGATTGTGACTGCCAGGGAGGTAGCAGGGGCCCTCATCACAACCACCTTTTCATTTTAGGACCTGGTGGCTAATGGGGCCCTTGTCAGTATCTGCAACAAGTATGGAGAGATGCCTGTGGACAAAGCCAAGGCACCACTGAGAGAGCTTCTCCGAGGTCCATCCCCCACCCCATAGCTTGTGTCCTCTTGTCCCTCTCCACCTGTCTCCTCCCTCCATACCACAGCTCAGGCTGAAGAGTTTTTCTTCCCCAGAACGGGCAGAAAAGATGGGCCAGAATCTCAACCGTATTCCATACAAGGACACATTTTGGAAGGGGACCACCCGTACTCGGCCTCGTGAGTCACTGTTGTGGGAGGAAGGGTTGTAATAGGGAATAATCCTGAGCTCCTCGGGTTGGCCTAGGGTAAAGCTGGGTACCTGACTTGCTCACTCTCAGGAAACGGGACCCTGAACAAACACTCCGGCATTGACTTCAAACAGCTCAACTTTCTGGCGAAGCTCAATGAGAATCACTCTGGAGAGGTGACCTGTCCTTCTTGCCCCTCCCTCCCTAAATCCCCACAATTGATCTGCTCTAAACCTGTTTAAAGTTTTTCTCCCAGTTAGTGAACAAGGAAGTGGTGGCCTGGGTTAAAGCCTCCTAATCCTTACCTGTCCCTTCAGCTATGGAAGGGCCGTTGGCAGGGCAATGACATTGTCGTGAAGGTGTTGAAGGTTCGAGATTGGAGTACAAGGAAGAGCAGGGACTTCAATGAGGAGTGTCCCCGGCTCAGGTGGGCCAAAACCTCAACTAGAAGTTGTTGATCCCAAGAAACCCTAAATAGCATGGAGGGGGATTTTTCACGATAGGTCTCAGCCAGAGATTCTCTCCCTCTCCCAGGATTTTCTCGCATCCAAATGTGCTCCCAGTACTAGGTGCCTGCCAGTCTCCACCTGCTCCTCACCCCACACTCATCACACACTGGATGCCATATGGATCCCTCTACAACGTACTACATGAAGGCACCAGTGAGTAGGGATGCTCACTCTTTGGAAAGGGGATGGGAGATGTACAGGCCTCTCTTAAACTACCTGACTCTTGTGTTCTCTCTTAGATTTTGTTGTGGACCAGAGCCAGGCTGTAAAGTTTGCTTTGGACATGGCAAGAGGCATGGCCTTTCTGCATACACTAGAGCCCCTCATCCCACGACATGCACTCAATAGCCGCAGTGTAATGGTAAAGCTTACAAGTTGTTTGGCCCAGACCCCCCCCCCCCCCCCAC